CCAACGTGCTGATAAGGAGCTGTGGATCTTGGTGGGTTTTTATAACGGGACAAATTTTGTTTATATGAAAGAGGCTAATTTTGGGGGTGGAGGAGGCAAGCTCCTATCACCCATGAAAACGAGCTGTGGTCACACGAGGCTGCCTGTCTTCAGCCTGTGGTCTTCCTGGGTTGGGCTGGTGTAATAACTAATAGTTTTGATAATGAAGACCGTTTGGTAATAGTTTACATATGTGGCCAGTTGAAAAGCCCGTTGGTATAAAGCAGAGGTTTTTGTTTCTTGCTATGCAGCAAGGAAGAAGACTGGAGCAGCTCGCTTGTCCCTTTGCTTCACAGCAAAGCACAAGCAATCAACGAAAATTGCCTTAAAAGTGGTTTTGTTAAAAGAATAATAATAAAATAACCCCCTTAGATTGCAGATGCTTTGAATCCTCTGTATGTGAGGGAAAGTAAAATAAAAATAACACCCTTAAACAAATTAATTACGAATGCTTTCTTGATAAACATGAAATCTAATATGAGTGATTCCTGGAGATACAGCTAGGTCATATCTAGCTCCTCTCTTGAAAATATATCTTTCTGTCCCTCAAAAGACATGATTTTGAAAGTCTAGTGAATTTTCGCTTGCTGTTAAACCGGTCATCTGGGCTTCTCTGTTTTCTAAGCCTTGACTGACAGAGCTGGCTTGTTGTATTGTGGTATTAGGTCATTACAGATGACTTTGGGGGGAAAAATATAGACAACCTGTTAAATTTAATATTTGGTCATAGAAGAGTCTAGTTTTTGATGGCAGGTTAGGGTGTCTGTGATCTGTGATGAGCAAATACAGAAGCATATTTGCTCGTTGTGTAGTTTATGCTTAATAGTTTCCTGCTAATTTCCTAATAGCCTTCTAGTTATTTTTCTTCTTCGGGCTGTTCTTAAAGTCACTTATTTGCTGAAGATGGGTCTTTTTCCATGTTAATTAGACAGCAGCTTCCTAACGGCAGTGATTACATTATCCGATAAGGCAGATTACCTGCCTGCGGTGATCAGAATGACGGGTGGAAGTTTAGTGGATTTTTTGCTTTGTTTTTTTTTTTTTTTTTTTTTTAAGAAGGGATTTGGTGAGAGAGATCCTGATCAAATTAAATGGAGCATCAAATTAAATTCAGGCTGAATTAAGTAGAAATCTCTGGGTCAGGCCAATAAACCATTTTAAAATTGAAGGAAGAAATAAACACATGGATATTTTATAGAAGTATATGTAAAATAATAGCTGAAATTCATCCTTACAGTCCTGGCTTGCAGCAAACCAAGAGAATCTTCCCATGCACTGGGATTAGCCCTTGTAGGGGAAAAAAAGGGGACCTGATCAGGCACACAAGCGCACCCTGCTCCCAGTGAAGCAGCCAGAAAGACCCTCCTCTTCCCTCTCCATCCCCCTATGTGAAATAAGAACCAGATCCCCCGGGTTAAAAGCACTTCTTCTTCTGTGTTGCTGCCAGCGACCTGCCATCTCCCCCGAGAGTTTCCTCTCTGCCTCCTGGCCACCCTGGTTCACCCCTGGCGCTCAGCAGGACTGCTCGGAGTATCTCAAGTACTTGCTGGACCGGTATGTGGCAAGCGCCCTGATTTCGGAGCCTGGTGACAATGGCATCCCTAGACTCGACGTAATGTTTAACATTGACCCACATGCAGACGGGGCAAGTAGCTGAGACCTGGAGGAGTTGGGAGAGTGGCAGCTTGGGATGAAAGATGGTGAGATCGGTCCAGGGCTCCTTGATCAAACCCTGTTTGGGCTGGCTTAGGGGTAAGGTCAGAACTTAGTTCAGCTTGAAAATTTCTGCCTTTGCTCTGAAGGCAAAGGGAATTGCGTCAAGTTTGGAGATTTGCCTGCCAAGCCACAGAGGTTGTCCTCCTCTGTAAAATATTGATTTTTGCCTTTCTCTTACCTGGAAATCACGAATCTCTGGTGTCCCAGTGATCCCGCTAGAAGAGGGGGGTCAATGGCACATGGAGACCTCAGGTTCCCAAATCCTGCCCAACTCCTCCCCACCTTTCTCCCACAGCACCAGACCCCTGGGCACAGGCAGGTTAACCCCTTGGAGTGAAGAACAGAAACCCTACTTTAGAAACTACCTCTTGGTGTTGTATTGGTGCATAACGCAGCCTTTTTGTCCCCTGCCAAAGATTACATGAAGAAGAAAAAACTGGAAAAAGGATCTACCAGAAACTCAAGGAATCCAGCTTGATGTCTCCAGCAGTGGAACATCATTACTTAAACAAGACATTGATTGAGAAGATGTTTGGGGGTAAAATGATGACAAAGATCCGCTGCTTGAAGTGTCTGAACGTCTCCTCCCGAGAAGAAGCCTTCACAGACCTGTCCCTGGCTTTTCCCCCACCAGACAGGCACGTGCGTGGGAGCACGTCTGTTTTACCGGTGGAAGAAATTGGCCCACAGTTTATTGAGCCTCCTGAAAACCCAAGCCAGCTTACGGGGTCTCCCTGGATCCCGAGGAAGGCCCCCATGGCCAGAGACCCTGCAGCCCCACCAATGCCAGTGGAAACATTGGGTTTCCAGGAGCCAGGAGAAGCGGCAAATCCCTTAAGTGGCGATGCCGTCCGCGTGGATGCAGCCAAAGACTCTCTCTCAGCTTTTGGGGAGCAGGCATGTGCTCCCAAGGACTCCAGATCTGTCCTGGATTTAATCAACTATTTTCTGTCCCCAGAGAGACTGACAGCAGAGAATAAATACCACTGTGAGAAATGTGCATCCTTGCAGGACGCCGAGAAGGTGGCGGAGCTGACGGAGGGTCCGCATTACCTCATCCTCACGCTGCTGCGGTTCTCCTTCGACCCACGGACTATGAAGAGGAAGAAGATCTTGGACAACGTCTCCATCCCCGTGGTGCTCAAGCTGCCCATCCTTGTCGCCCCGGAGGAAACCGAGGAGGTTTGTCGGCGTGAGAAGGACAGGGCTACCCCGGGAAGTGGCTTCATGTCTGTTGTGTATGACCTCTGCAGCGTGGTGGTGCATTCAGGCATCTCCTCCGAGAGCGGCCACTACTACTGCTACTCCAGGGAGTGCACCGACACCGTCCCCCACGGGCAGCCCCGGGACGGGGCGCCGAAACCAGCCTCCGACAAGCAGTTGGACTTTGAAATCCAGTGGTACCTCTTCAATGACACCAGAGTTTCCTTCTCCTCCTTTGAATCGGTCAGCAACGTCACCTCTTTCTTCCCCAAGGACACTGCCTACGTCCTCTTCTACAGGCAGCGGTCGGGCAGGCAGAGCTGCCTGCTGCACGAGGCTCTGGCTGAGGTTGGCCGCCTGCACGGTGAACCCTCCCTCCATAAGGACTTGATGGAAGCCATTTCCAAAGATAACATCCTCTACTTGCAGGTAACTCCCGCTGCCGTGCACAGCAGGGTGCGATCCTGTGGCTGCCCGGCCATGTTCCCACCCGTCCGGGCAGCCCCAGGGTCACGTCCTGCGGATAAATCCATGCGTGCAGATACCCACCCACTCCCTGAAGCCAAATCCCTTTCCCTTTTTAGCACCCAGGTATAAACAGGTTGCAGTTTCCCAATGAAATTAATCATTAAGGTTAGCGCAAGACACCTCGTGGCTGTGCTCAGGGTTGACTTGCTGTTGCCCACCCCAGGCAGCTCTGCCTGAAATTTTCTCCTATGTGCCTGGGAAAGATGGGCGAGCTGGGAATACAAACTAGAACAGCTTTCATTCAACTGGTGGAGTTCAATGCTTCCCAAACAGCAGTGTCCCATAGGACATGAGCAGCACCCGGGGGAATTGGAGGGGTCCCTCTTCTCCCAGAGGTAACATGGAAGGGCTGTTTTTTGATTGCTGGAGAGATGCAATGCTTTGCTGCATCCCTCCCGCCAAGCTCTAGAGATGAGCACGTGGCCTTTTCACCCCAGTTTAATTTGGAGGAGGCTCCCAGGGCCAACCAAACAGGCTCCTGGCTCCTTGGGGAAGGTGGGAGCATCCCCCTACCCGGGTCATTTAGCTGCAGATATCCTTGTGTTATTTCTCCCTCTTCCTTCTCCCAGGAGCAGGAAAAAGAAGCGAGGAACAGAGCCGCCTACATTTCTGCCTTGCCAAAATCCCCACTGTGGTGGAAAGACTTTGACAGGGACAAGGATGATGACAACTCGTCGGGGGGCTGCAGCCCAGCTGCAGGCGGGGGGGGATCCGGCTCCTTTCATGGACTTGTCTTCTAACCAACGGGTTAAACCATAGTCAATGTCTATGGGGCCAGAGGCTCCTCTTCCTTACCCTGATGACAGCGAGCATCTTGGAGGAGGATTTGGGGAACACGTCAATGGAAGAGGACTCAGGGGCTGATTTGGAGGCACCCGGAGGGTCCCACCGCTTCCTATGCACTTGGTCTTCACGCCTTAATGTAACTAAGCTAACGCGGAGATGAGCAGCTGCCGACAGCTCGGAGAAGTGCCCTTTTGCTTCAGCGTAGCCGTGTCTTGCCTGCTGTGAGCCATGCCACCAGACTGCGGAGAGGATGGGGACAGGGACGGGGATGAAGATGGACCCAATGGGGACCCAGGGATGGAGATGTCCCATGCGCATCCCATCTGCAGCTCTTCCCATGGCGCTGAATCGGTTTTGGGGGGACCTCTGCTTGGTTGTTGTATTTTTTTTTTAATGTGGTTTTGAGAACCCACCTTGAAACACTTCTAAAGGTAGAAAAAGGCTGAAAAATGCCGTGCAGCCAACATGGCAATGCTGATCTGGCAGGGTGGTGAGCTTGCAAGTCTGCTTGGTCACAGTGAGCAGTGGCAGGTCAACCAGAGGGTTTTATGCAGCATTGCAGAACACCCAAAACAGACTGAGGGGCACAAACCCCTCCAGCCAAGAGAGACTGACCTGGTCCAGTCAGGGCTTTTTGGGCTCCAGCAAAGCCCCGTTGTGTTACTGGTGACCTCTAGATGCTGTTAGTGTACACGGCAGGCCCAGACACACAGCTGTTTTTCCAGATGTGTCTTTAGGACTCGGTTAGCCTCTTTCTGCTACTGTCATCTCATGGCTTTCTGGGCTGGATCTGCCCTTTAAAACTTGGGCTTTCCTTTGGGGTAGCTTGAACTGAGCAGCAAATGACAGAGCCCCCCCTAAAACCCACTAGCTATTTTTTTAAAATGCTGATTTGCAAGGAGAGTAGCCCAACCAGATATATTATATCAACCCAATATAAATACATACTATGTAAACCAATGTATTATATAAATCAGTAATGGGACAGGGGCTGATTTTGGTGGCAGGAGGCCAACCCAAGCCCCAGACAGCGTGTCTACAGGACCATGTCTCCCTCCCATGTCCCTCCCTAGCTGTCCTTCCCTGCTCCTCCCTCGCACCTGTAGTAGAGATTTCTCTAGCTCAAGTGGCAGAGACTTGTGCCTTAGGTCCTGGGTCCAGGGCCTAATCCTGACCGTGGGGTATTGGGGTGGGAATATTGTGTTGCCGTGGAGGAAAAAGCAAAGCACAGATATTGCTATGGATAACGCGAGCAGAAAGTCTGCTAGAGAGGACACTTGGGATCAAATCTCTGGTGTATACTATCATATTCTTTTATTGCCTTTCCTATATATAAATAAAGGAAACTAATTAATTCAACATAGAGGCTTAGTGTCTTATTGCAACAGTCATAGCTATTGGGCTGATGGGTCAAAAAAGAGATGGGGAAGCTGATGGGAGATGAGCATCCAACCTCAAGGATGCGGGACCACCCTGCAGAGCAGTGGATTGGAAGAGGGGAGCAGGCAGAGGTGGGATGGGGACCCCCAGCTGGGTGCCCTCCGAATGCAGATCACAATCCTAGTAGTGGGGTTTTGTAGATGAGCAGCAGAGTGTGTTCATTCTATTTAAGTCTGCTAGACTTAAAGTGGTGCTAAGAGGAAATAAATACGGACCCCAAGCTGAAGTTACACCAAAAGTACAGTGTTTCCTGCTGTTACTAACAGACTTTTACGAAACTCCTGTCCAAAGAGGTTGCCGAAAGCTTTCATGTTGCTGTCACGCCAGCTCCTCGCTTTGTGCTGGAGTGTCACCCAGAGGCATTCCCTGGGCCGCGAGCTGGAAGGTGCTTTTGCAGGAGACCGTCTCTGCCTTGGTGAGATCCTAATCTAAATAATCAAGGCAGATAATCAGCCCAACATGGAACACGGAGCGGCAGTATCATAGCTATGCTGTTGCCTGAATACGTCTTGTTTTTTCCCCAAGATTTTCTGAGATAAGCAAAGGCAAACTGCGCAGTGCTCAGCACCGATGGCAGCCTGGAGCGTTTCAACGGTGCAGTGAGGTGGTCTGGCTTAGTCCCTGTTCGTTTCCTATAATGCTTAGCATTGGACTCCCCTTTCAGACTCAGCCCTAAGCCTCTGTTTGCACAGCATTATCTACAGTTTGCTCCACGATCCTCTCCCCAAAATAATTACTATATAAATGTATATAGTATAAGTATGTATTTACATACATATGTAATATACACATACATATACATTTATCAGATAAATATATGTAAGATGAGTAATATATTAAATATTTAACATACACTAAAGTTTGCATTAATATACTTTATTAATACTATTGATTATCATTACTATGAATACTATTAATATACCATATGTTATAATATTGTAACTATACCATACTATTAGTAGTATACTGTAATGTATGAATGATGAGTATTTAGTAATACACTGTTAATATTATAGAATCATAGAATCATAGGATGGTTTGGTTGGAAGGGACCTTTAAAGATCATTTAGTCCAACTCCACTGCCCTGGGCAGGGACATCTTCCACTAGATGAGGTTGCTCAGAGGCGCATCCAAGCTGACCTTGAACACTTCTAGGGATGGGGCATCCACAGCGTCTCTGGGCAATGTGTTCCAACGTTTCATCACCCTAATCGTAAAAAATTTCTTCATTATGCCCAATATCTAAACCTAACCTCTTTCAGTTTAAAACCATTGCCCCTTGTCCTGTCTCTACAGGCCTTAATAAAAAGTCTCTCTCCATCTTTCTTATAAGCCCCCTTTAAGTATTGAAAGGCCACAATCAGGTCTCCCCGCAGCCTTCTCCTCTCCAGGCTGAACCCCCCCAGCTCTCAGCCTCTCCTCCCAGCAGAGCTGTGCCACCCTCGCACCATTGCTGTGCCCTCCTCTGGCCCCGCTCCAACAGCCCCATATCCTTCCCGTGCTGAGGACCCCTGAGCTGGACGCAGGGCTCCAGGGGGGTCTCCCCAGAGCGGAGCAGAGGGGCAGAATCCCCTCCCTCGCCCCGCTGCCCACGCTGCGGGGGATGCAGCCCAGGAGACGCTTGGCTTTGTGGGTTGCGAGCCCACATTGCCGGCTCGTGGCCAGCTTTCCATTCCCCAGCACCCCCAAGTCCTTCTCCTCAGGGCTGCTCTCCATCCCTCCATCCCCCAGCCTGTACGGACACCAGGGGTTGCCCTGACCCATGTACAGGACCTTGCACTTGGCCTTGTTGAACCTCACGAGGTTCACATGGGCCCATTTCTCCAGCCTGCCCAGGTTCCCCTGGATGGCATCCCTTCTCTCTGAAGTATCAACCACACCACTCAGCTTGGTGTCATCCACAAATTTGCTGAGGGTGCACTCAATCCCACTGTCCATGTCATTGATGAAGATATTAAATAGTATTGGTCCCAGTACGGACCCTTGAGGGACACCCCTTGCTACTGGTTTCCACTTGGACACTGAGCTGTTGACTGTAACTCTTTCAACATGGCCATCCAGCCAATTCCTTATCCATCGAACAGTCCATCCATCAAACCCATATCTCTCCAATTTGGAGGCAAGAATGTTATGGGGGACCGTATCAAAGGCCTTACAGAAGTCTCGTATAGCATTAGTATAGTACGTTACTACCTATGCTATACCAGTTATAGTATATACTATATTAATAGTAGTGTCAGTAATATTTGTATACGGTGTATTGGTAAAGCATATATTATAGTATATATGATAGCATAGCCCATAGTGTCACACATGCCTCTGGCCAAGGAGAGCCTGCAGCAGAGTCCTCAGCTCCAGGTTTGGGATCCCAGATGTGCTGCAGATGTGAGGTAATGCTACTCTCGTCTAAAAAAGGGGGTTACAGGGGCTGTGCTGTAGGGACGTGTCTTTCCCCAGGTGCCTTTTTTTTTTTTTTTTTAAAGTAGATGTAAGTGTCTTGAAAGGAGGGGTTGAACTTTTAACTCGGGAAAAAGATTTGTTCTTGTGCTTAAGTTTTATGGGTGATTTGGTGCCTTGAGCTGGGGCTCACAGGTGCCGAGCTGCTGATGGGCAAGGCAGGCAGCATTTGTCCTCACCCTGCACACATCAAAGTGTATCCCTGGAGCAGATACATAGTATGAAATTCACTTTAGCAGCTGAAAAACACACGGTTTGGCTTCTGGTATCGGGAAAAACCCTAACTGCATCCTAAAGGCCCTCATTGAACAGACAGGACACCTGAAGCTGTAGGAGATACTTGGCGACATGCTGGGAAGATGCTTTGAAAGCTTTAAAGGTGCTGCATAATTCAAGTTGATCCAGTCATTAATTCCCCCTTTCTCTCCCCACTCTGAATCCATGCTGGGAGTCACCAGTGAGAGATGGCTTTTTATTATCATTCTTTTATTTTCCCGTTGCTTTCCTGCTGCATATACAGTACTTAAAAATGAGATCACCTTCATGTCAGGCATGTACCATGTTTATTAACAGCAAAAAAAGTATTATCTAGGCTTCACTCAAGACCAATTTACAGGATAAATAATTGTTTCAAATTACTTAAAAAAAACAAACAACAAAACCCCGAAGAATAAATTAATAACTTAAGTGATTAGCTGTCCACAGTGATTTGAAAACTTAATAACCATTCAAACAGTGACACCACAAGAAGACACGTACTGTACAGTTTGCCACAGATTACTCTTATCCTTCCTTCTACAAATGGAAAAAAAAAAAATTAAAAATACTCCTTTTTAAGAACAGTCATAGGCTTTGAAACACACAAAACATCCCTGCGAATCGGCTGCCGATGCGACGGCTTCAAAGCCGGGGCTCTGACCCCCCCTCGCAGCAGGTTAAGAAACAAATGGAGAAAACTACTCTAATTTGGCTGGGTCCGTTCCCACGCAACGATGCCCAAAGTCAACAGGGACCTGTTGACTTCGCCAAGGGCTGGAGTGAGTGGGACGCAACTAC